AGGTTTCGAAAATGAAAAATTTTTATAGGACAACCTGATATTTGCATAAAATTCAACTTTATCCTCGATATACCATAAAAGAAAACGCCTCTCCTTACGCATTCGTTCGATCCTCTTGACGCCAGTCCGCATATTTCGTGCACGCATTGTTCCTGGAGACAGTGCGTGCACCGAAGTTGCCGGTGCATTTTTAATGAAGTCCCTTTCCATAGAAGAGCAGCCGTTTTCGGCGCCTTTGTGGCCAACCATGGTCCAGACACGCCTTTTTAAACAGGCCAACTTGTTTTCGCTCGCCGTTCTCCAGAGACACCTACTGCCATTGAATCGTCGACCTTGCCGCCTCCGACTGTACGTTGCCCGTTTCACGAATAAAATCACGAACCGACGAATCTAAAAATATCTTTCCTTTTTTCCACGTCCACCAGTGTTTCGAGGCGTTTCGTCTCGTTAGTTCGAAAGGAATGTTTCATTGACGAAATTGAAAGTTATTTTGCAACGTACATTTCTTCTTCTTAAATTTCTTCTTCTTCTTTGGTCAATCAGGTTCCAAAGTTTATCTAGGATCCTGTGAATCGAGATTAAATGTTGAGACAAAAGTTGATTCAGTGGAAAAGTATTTGTTAATTGTGATATTTATTACTATCTTCGTGAAGATAAGTTGTTGCTCTGATGGATACAAAATCGAACTTATAATAATCGTTTTAACATATCGTTTTCTTTTCAAAATTATAAATATCTGATCGTATATACTGTCTTTATTACATATAAATTAAGTTTTAATTATTTAAATATTTCCCATAACGATATAAATACTTAACCCGTTAACTACTTCAGAACACAATATTTATTAAAACAAACTTTCAACAAGATTTTTAACAGGCACAATTTACTTTATCCCCCAAAAGAAAAGAATCCAATTAAAAATTATTATCTACTAAGCTAAACTTCAGTTTCACTTTTTCAAAATTTAACCACTTAGTTAGAGTGTCATTTGTCCTTGTCCAACTCCCAATTAATCTTCAACTCCACGATTAATCTCCAAACATCGTCTCTGATAGGTATTTATCAAACAGTTTGAAAAGGTTAATCAGGATCACGTCAAATACCCGGTCACGATTAAGGTTACGAGCTAATCGGGCGAGTTACCGTATAACATCACCAATTCCCCAAACCGTTCTTATCCCACGAGCGCACTGTAATTAGCAAAGTCATCGTTTTCCTTTATGAATCCCTCCTTTGGCCCGGCCATCGAAAGAGGAGGAAGAGATCGAAAGTGGAGAGAAGTCGAGTCATCGACGACTAATCCTCCTCGCCCCCTCCTCGCTTTAACTTTAATCAAGACTACTACTCTCGAAACCCGTCATCAGGCCCTATTCGACGCGGACGATGAAATTGCGCGTCAGTTTCCTTTTATGTTCGCAAATTAGTCGGACGATAATCCGGCCGAGTGGCTCAATGAGAAGCATCACACGGATAATGAACTTGTGCTCGGCAGTTAATGCGTAAATATTGTGTGAGTACGTATGCATATATGCGCGCGCGTGTGTGTGTGTGTCGGTTTGGCATTACGATTCACAATGAAACGAGTAGAGGGAATCACTATCACTTTCATACGGTTCGGGGGGGGGGGATAATGAAGGAGCTTTCGCGAGGAAAAGTGTTATTTTTAAGAGATGAAATTATGATGAGGGTAGAGTTTGAGGTGGTGATTGAGGACTTGCCGTGCAAGTCATGGCAACATCTTGGCCAAATGTAAGAATTTTGTTATGTTTTCTTCTTCTTCTTCTTCTTCTTATATATGAGGGTGATATAGAAATTAAATAAGGAAGAATAATTTATATTATTATATTATTCGCGATTTGATTTTTCGAAATTTTAAAAGAATCGTTTACAAATTGAAATGTATTATTCCGTATACGTCTATACTCTTATTACGTCTTCGCTCGATATTTGGATTGTAATTTCAACTTTCGTCAATTACACGTTTCAGTTTTCTACGATCCTCCAAATCATAAATCGTTCCGATCGAATAATGGAAAACAAAATTATAAAAGTATATATATATATATATATATATAAAAA